CCACGTGCAGAATATTTTGACTTTTTGAATTTTGGTGGCCTCTTCACTTGACTCGGAAGACCCCAACAACTATAAATATTAGATAATTAACACTTGCAAAATTGAGGAAAAAGTTATTTGCATAATGGACATAAAACAATGGAAGATCATATAATTATTAACTGTTAACATGTTCTGGCAGTCGGCATACCACCAAAATATGCCCACTTGCAGCTACACCAGACCCTTCACATGGTCCATGATTGGCCTAGGCGGAAATGCGGAATTACCTCTCCTCTCTGATATTTTTGTCATTTCTTCTTATATTTATCTATACTGTTCATGAGTCGAGAGCATCACCGATGCTTCTCAGCTCGTTGGAACAGCTACAATCTAGCCCCAGTTGAAGTTCTTAATGTCTACCATTAAGAATGTCATCACCGTCCAGCTTACTCCAGAGAATCATCTCACATGGAGGTCGCAAGTTCTGAAAGTGTTTCACGCCAACAACTTTGAGGGTTATCTGGACAGGACCGACTTATTGTTCATATATACTATCGTTGATAGAGCAATACTAATGAGATAAACCTATTGAAAAGTTTATAAATTATTGATTAAATATGTGCAAATTATCTTAACTGAGTTCCTCTAATTTTTTGGAAATTTATGAAATTGAAATCTTTAGAGATTGAATATTATCATATATTTTTTTTATCTTTAACCAAAGGGTGTCAATAAAGAACCTTATTGGTAAATACGGCCTGAAACTATGTCGATAAGTTTGGGTTCTGGTTGGTCCAATTAATAAACGGGTCGGATGTTGGTTGGATTTTTTGACCCATACATTAAACGATTCAGCCTCGAGTTGAACTGCAAACTCTCCTTTAAATTAAAATGACATATTTAATATCTTTTTTGTTTACTTTCAGTATAATCTTCATATTTTTTATCAAATATTATATATAAACTATATAGTTAACAAGTTATTAAAAAAATTTAGCTAAACAGGTAATCAAGTTGCTAGTGGGTTGGTTTTATGTTGATGTTTCTGACATTTTATTAAACGGGACTTGTTTGAGTTAACTGACTTCAGATCGGTCAATTTTGGATCTGACTCGAACCCCATCAGTCAACTCATTTTGACACCCTTGCTTGGTTTCAAAGTAGGTCTCAATTCAATCTCAAAGATATTAATATAAAAAATAAAAAAAATTTTAAAATAAAAAAGATATTAATATATGCAAGAAATTAATTATTTATTTAATGCATTTATCTAAAAACAAATTTAATAAATTTGAAATTATGTTGATAATCATTGGCGGTGGTGCTGAGATAGAGCTTTAGGATTCTTCAATCTCCGGAGCTCTTCTCATTTGAAGAATGTGGGCTATTTATAATTTTTTTTAATGTGGCATCCTTAGTAAATATGGAGAAATTAAGGCTTTGTTTGGGACGGCTTTTTTATTGCTTTTTAAAACGGAGTTTTAGTACAAAAATAAAAAAATTTGTACTAAAACTCCATTTTTGAAAGCAGTAAAAAAGCCGTCCCAAACAAAGCCTAAATCTATGATATGTTTGGAGTGTTCCATCGGATGACGCATATTGATTCCCATGATCATGAAATGTTTATTGAACATTTAAGTTCCTTATTGATGTCAAAATTGAATGATCTTGAGCTCGTTGGATTTGTCAATTTGACTATAAGCTTGTCATATTTGGATATCATTTGGTCAACCAATTAATGCTCTTAAGCTTCTAAGAATGTTTTGGTCCTTTAATCTGAGCTCATTTGGGATCGAATTGGACTAAATTTTGTGTCATTGGGTTCGTCTCCTTGAGATGTTCAATTTGACTATAGGCTTGCTGAAATCGAAGTTTGGATGGTTCCGAATTAAATTTAAAAGTTTTTTATTTATATTTGCATGAAGATTTGTGTCCAATCAAAATGATTTTTGGTGACATATCAACATTTATGAAGGTGAATATAAGGATTTGTTAAGATCCAATATAATAAATCCAACTAATTTTAAAAAATAATTTTTTTATAAGTAGAGAAAAACTTCTACTTCCCCGCAATTTTTTTTTTCTTTACAACAACTTTAAAATTTTATTTGGAATATTTTTTTTTAAAATAATTTTCTAATAAAAAAATTAATTATCACTTGCTTTTGATAGAATGAAGAGAAAATAATCACCCAATTAAATATCTTCCAGAAAGTCAAGAAGCAATTATATCCTTACACGATAAAGCAGATAAAAAGTTTAAATTGTGGTCATCAATTAATTTTAATTAATGAATATCTTAAGAAACATTATCAAAATTTAATTATTAAATTATATTTAACTTAAATTTATAATTTATAATCCATTTTTTTTAAAGTTAACAGGAAATATAAGAGTGTGACAAAAATCCTTTGAGGATAAAATTTGTGGAAATTTGCATGGGAAAGGAAAGCAACTCACCTTAGACTAAGCGTGGAAAACTTTAAAATAATTTGTCCCTAGCACTTTCAAGAAAGCTGTTGCATATTTATGCTGTGTTTGGAACAGTTTTTTGACAGCCTTCGCGGTAAAATAGAATAATAATTAAAAATAATATGTGTTTGGAATTAAGATATTTTTTCTGACCTCTTTTTTTCAAACTTATATTGTTAAAAAGTTGCTTTCAAATAAGTGTTTTTAAAATTGTGATTTTTAGAAAGGAGAATTTTAAAACCAGAGACATAAAAGCTTAATCTACCTCAAATAGGGCTGCAAACGAATCGAGACGAGCCGAGTACAGTACGTGAGTGTTCATGTTTGAGTTCGTTTATTATTACATTGTTCAACTTCAGTTCATGTTTAATTCGAGCTTCATTGTTTGTATTCATGTTTGGTTCATTTAATTTATCGGTGTTCATGTTTGGTCAATGTTCGATTCATTTAGTGCTTATCGAGTTTTAAACAAACAAACCTTAACAAGCTATGTTCGTGAACATATTTTGTAAACAATCTATTGAACAAACAAACCTTAAATTTGTCCACAAATATCTTAAACAAACAATCTAGCAAATATATATGGATAAATCTAAAATGTCATTTGTTCATAAACAAATTCATTCTATTGACGATATAAAATAAAATGAAATTCATTTAAAATAAAAGCATATGTCTATTTAAAATGAAAATATGATTAATCTATATGAATATATTTTTATCGAGCTTAATGTCGAGCTTGTTCACGAGCTTCAAATAATATTGTTCGTGAAAATAAATGAACTAAACACATTTGTGTTCAAGCTTGTTTATTTAAAGATCGAGTATTTAAATTGCTGTTCAAGTTTTTTTGCTTAGTTAATTAAACGATCACAGATGAGTTTTAATCAAACCGAGCAATGAGAAACTCGTCGAACGTTTGGTTCACTTGCAGCCCTAACCTCAAACAAAGCCTTAGTAGAGTTCAAACGAGAATTTATTTATTTATTTTTTATTTTTAGACTAATTTGATTCATGTTGCGGATTTATGGTTTATGATTTTGATGATAGCAAACATTTCTTATTTCTCTACGATTGCCTTATGTGCTAACGTTTCAGGTCCACACGATCAGACTGCAATTTGAAACCAGCTCAAGATTGGGTAGACTAGGTCTGTGCCAGTTTGTAATCTTTTCCCTTTCTTGAGTCTTTTGTATTTGGTGTGGCATCTAATGATTTGTAACTTGAAAGATTTTCTGTTGTGCCCTAAAAGATTTCTATTTTTGGTAACATCGTCCGGGACGATATTTATATCATCCTGGACGATCTGACAAAAGTAGAAACCCTAATTAGGGCATCCTCATTAAAGCATCCGTCTTTATGTAAAACACATCGTCCTGGACGATTTTGTATCGGCCAGGACGATCGGCTCAATTCAGCAAGAATCTGCCGCCATATCTACTTAGGAAATACTTATTTTTGGACATCGTCCCGGTATATCGTCCTGGACTATAAAATATCGTCCCGGACGATACAGAGCAATTTTTCCAAAATTTCTCAGGCAGTTTTGGAAAGCAATTAATGGAGATTTCGTCCAGGCCGATCGCAAGATCGTCCGGGACGATTAGACATCATCCAGCTTCATTTCAGGGCGATATTCAGGTCGATTTTCCTCATATTTGAGCTAATCGGCCAAG